GGAGTATTAATTGCAGAATCCCTGGGAATGGACGAGCAGTACCTGCCAGCAGCTGCCAGACTGCGCAGTGGCGTCCCACTGCAGAGGTCCAGCCTGCAAGGGCACCCACCAGAGCCATCGGGCTGATTTAGCTGGAGGGCGGCTGTTCCCTGGGGAAACAGGAGCATGTTTTGTTCGCACTGGGTGATACTGAAAATAAAAACCTGCCAGAATAATACAGCAGTCAAAGCAATAGGGATCCTAGTACTGGCACAATTATATCCATATGAAAGTCGTTTTATTAGTTTAGCCAATTTCCCTTTTTGAAATAACATGTACTACTATTCGAATATTTGCAGTGACAGAAACGTGTCAACACTGAGGAGTTTTACAGCCTAATATATTACATACACTGACAGTATACACAGAGGAGGACTATTGTGCAGAGGAAGTGTCTCCATGCATAGACGAGTGCGTATAGATGTGCATGTGTCCGTAGAGAAAGCTGGAGCAGCAGCAGTCGAATCACAAGGGACATGAAATTTCAGGCTCTGCCTGAGAGCCTGGGCTTAACTGCAGTGCTGGCCGCTGGGCACGTACGTCCTTTGCAGGACCCAGCAGCGGGTAGTGACAGACCTGCGCATCCTGCAGCCTTCACTGCAGTCTCCAAAGGGGACAGTTTTTCCTTTCTGCTCTCAAATGCAGCAGAACATGCTAAACGGCTGTGAAAGTAGCACAGCCTTCATTTATTTGGGGCACAGCTTTTAACATAGAGAGAGGCTTTACAAGCTCCTTTACCACTGCCAGCTGCATTAAGAAAGTACTGGGGGGGCTTTTAAGGATACACAGGGCAGTTTGTTGGCCAAACAAAGTTACTGGTTTTTTCAGCTAAAGATACCAAGGCACAGTAGAGGCTTAAAGGTTCAGGTCAACTCTAATTTTAACTAGAGTGGTTTTCTCACCTCTGCCTGTATCAAAGGCAGTATCACAGTATCAGGATTCAGTGTCAGCTGTCAGAGATTCGGGAGCAATGCAACCACTTTTATTCCCATCATCACTATTTAATAAGGATGAAAATAGCCACCTCAGTGCAGCCCCCCTCCGTCTGCTTGAGAGAGAGACTTCAGCAGCTGGTTCCCAATCCCACCTTTAATCTTGGCAAAAGCAAATTCTACCAGAATCACCTAATTACACTCCATGACCCAGCTGCACCTCTGCAAAAGCAAATTCTACCAGAATCACCTAATTACACTCCGTGACCCAGCTGCACCTCTGCAAAAGCAAATTCTACCAGAATCACCTAATTACACTCCATGACCCAGCTGCACCTCTGCAAAAGCAAATTCTACCAGAATCACCTAATTACACTCCATGACCCAGCTGCACCTCTGCAAAAGCAAATTCTACCAGAATCACCTAATTACACTCCATGACCCAGCTGCACCTCTGCAAAAGCAGCTCCCTTCAGGTGCATTCTTCAATTCTCTCCTCCACCTTTCACAGCAACACCATGAGACAGCATCAACATTACTTACAACAGCAGCCTTCAGCCTCCGCACCACACTTTGGGGCCATCCTTCCTTCCTTGCTCTCCCTCCCCGGCCACCCTCCCTATTTGCCATTCCTTTGTCCATACCATCCCCAAAGTCTTCTTGGCACTGCCAAGTTCATACATTCACGTTGCTGCAGGGCTTTGTGGCTGCATTTCCACAGGGAGATTAGGGTCCAGCTAACACATTTGCATGGCACAAGCACTCAGAAGAGCAGGCGAGCCATGCCACCAGGTACTTGCTTTGACTCTTGCTGAGAAGAAAGTGCCCATTTGAGGAAATGATGAATTTTGCAGACTGGATTCAGAGTGCATAGCACCAGTCTCTCTATTCACACAACTTCAGAGGTCTAATGCCCCCTTGCACAGGGAGACGGCACAAACTCACTACCTTCCTACTCTGTAGGGGAAAGTAAGCTTTATTCACTCCTTTATGGTAGAAGCCATCTTACCTTTTACCCTCCACCTTTGCTTGATGACAACAACTCTTACCTTCAGCAAGCAGGAGGAACCATCTGTGACAGCCAGGGTCTGTCTTGGGGCTCTGGCAGGATGTAGGGTAAGAGTAAGCCAATGTTCAAGATTGCCATAAATTTCTTTTGCTATACGAACTTCTGCGGGTTAGCAGCTGCACTGCACATTAAATGCAATAATTAAATTAATTAAACTGGCCCTGCAAGTGCGGTTTGCAGTCCCCTCTCTGGTGAGACTTCTGTAATCAAGTTACAATAAAAATAAGTTAGAAAAATTAAGTATTTAAATTCTTACCAGTGCCAGAAGACGATCCGACGCTGCTCTGCCTTCTGTTTGTATCATCCACAAACCTTAGTAGCTTCTTAATAACTTCTGAGATGTGCACCTGTGCAAACATGTGGCAGGAGAGCTCACCTGAGCTGAATCAACCCCTGCCCACTAACCCCTCTGCTTGTCACTGCAGAGAGTCACACTGGCAGCTAAATTTGATCTTGCTGTGGTAAGAGTGCCCCTCTCATGGGGAAACTGTCTCCGCTGGAGAGTTAAAAAAATAAAACACCTAGACAGAAAATAGGTACTGGCAGGCAATGCTTTATTCTCATTGACTGTGGGGAACAGTATGCATGAAAGCACCACTTGAGGCCAACAGAGTTAAGAAACCAGTTACATGGGTAACTTTTCAAACCTACTTTTTCAAGTGCTATAACTAAATGCATTAAAAACAGGCTCTGGGAGGCATCATATGACATGCACAAAAGCTTTTTTTCTCCCAAGTGCAGAAACTTCCCCCCACATTCTCAAGAGCCCAAGCACAGCCAAAAAGAAAGTAAAACCAAAGAGCTTTTACTCAGCCCAGCAAAAGCAGCCTGGGCAGAGCAGCATTTACGGGGCTCCTGAGTGAGAGATCTGGAGAGGAAGGAAACAGCAAGAACAACTATTGAGGTAGAGGAAGCAAAACCAGGAGGCCCCCTAGAGATGCCAACCACTTTAAAAAAAAAAAAATTGCCTGTTAAAATAGATCTTGGGAGGTAGCAAACTGCAGGTGCTTAATTACATGACATAGTTCAAGGTCTGCTATTTAACCTCATCCATCCTCTAACACTCTCCAGTGTTTCACCCTTGGCATTGGGTGCACACATATAATCTGCGGAGCCCTGTCATGCCTGCAAAACAAGTGCATGCTACCAGGCTGTTCCTGTTTCTGGTAAACTGTTAGAAAAATTTCTTGAGATGCTAAACTCCAAAATGTTCTAGCAGATCTGCAAGGACTATGGCTTCCAGCAGGCTCTGCAGGATCCCCAGAGACACCAGTGTTTCAGAGCCAGGTCCCTGGGCTAGGTCACATGCCAAGACTTCAGAGATGAGTTCCTGAGTGCTCCCTGCTACTAAAAGTTGGGAGTTAAAAACAAAAAGCAGTAGCAAAAAAAAAACCCCAAACATTTTAGAAGAGTCTACTAAATAACTTTGCCGCTTTAGTACTGTACTAAGAAGAAAAAGAGATTCCTTAAGAGGTGACCCAAGGCAACAATAGTATCTGGCAAGTTGGAAGTATAGATATAGACATACCAAACAATGCAGCAAATAAATGTAAGACCCCAAGACCCCTGGGATGGGCAGATCCCCCTGGACTACTCTTTGGCCACCCAGCTTCGTACAAGGTCCTTGTACGTGTCAAGAACCTGTCAAGGCTCTTTTAACCTTCCATGGGCCCAGTGTGTGTCATGCCATTATTTTCCTATTTTTTTCCTCCCCAAAACTTCCATTTTTCTTTCTTTCAAAACTCTGCCAGTATACTGCGGACTATATGAACATAGATCAGGCTGCTCTGTTTTCATATCTAACTATACAGATGCACCAACATCTGCTGCTTTCAGCCCTTCCTCTCTTCTCTCGTCATTTCTCCCCTTGTGCTTCCAAACCTTTCTATGGTGAAGGACTGGCACATCCCTTCCTCACTCTCTTTCCTGAAGCTCAGGTTCAGAAGTGTTTTATTGCTCCACATATAAGGCAAACCCTTCACTTCTCAAAAGACGGAAAAAAAGACATTTTAAAAATATATATAGTTTAAAAAACTATACCTTGTCCCACAATGCCTGCCCACAGCTTAGGTCTCCCCAGCTTCTGTAGGACACCCTTAGCCCACTCACTGCCCAGCATTCCATGTTCCACCCAGCACCCCCTGCAAGGTGGCACAGCCCCCTGCCCCAAGCCCCTCTCCTGCACCTCCTCAGGCGTGCCCCAAGGTGCTGGGAGGCAGCCGGATGGCACCAGTCACCTCGCCACATCAGTCCATTGCACGGGGGACTACAGACAAGATGCATCCCCTGAAATGGGAAGAAAATTTCAGTGCAGCTGGGGAGATTTCTGCTGTCATGGGACAGGGGGTCTGAGCTTGACCTGGACATCTCAGGTATCTGCCACTGCACCAGCAGCTACCAGAGACTTGTAAAGGGGCCACCCAGTAGCTTGGCACATATGACATACACTGGCACGTACAGTGAGATGCACATCCTCCGATAACCCCATGGCGTATCCTCTGGGCTAGCAGGTCCTGGTCTCTCATTGTCTGCTTCCCAAATCAAGCCATCTAATCCTATAACCCCAATGCTTCCAAAGCCCATCTCTTACTTTGTACGTAAATATATGTATATATATGCACATCTCTTACTTTGTAAGTATGTATATAAATATATTATTTTCCTTTTTATATTTACAAATTGCATTTACACACAGGTTTTTATTTTTTTGGTATCTGTGCAAGCATCTTAAGGAACATGAGCTCAAGATATAAAATTTTTGAGAATTCCTTTTATTTTTTATTAGTTTTTAAAACCCTACATCAAAATATATAATGTATGTATGTAACAGTAAACTCTGTAGGGTAAATCCTGTTCTTCAAACACATAGAATAAAACCAATGCCACCGCCACATCCACCTTTGCCTCCACCTGTCCCACTCAGCACCTTTCCCATCAGATTCCTGGAGCACACCAAGCCTTCACTCAACATTCAGGTCCAAAATGTCGCAGAGGTTTTTCACCACACACGGAAGCTGCTTGGCGGCATGCTCCTTCAGCCTGGAGCCCATCACTTGGTAGAGGGTATCTGCAAGCTTGGTGACCACAGCCCTGACTTTGCTGCTTCGGGTAGGCAGGACCCTGTTTTCCAGGAAGAACCAGAGCGCGGGCAGGGTGTAGTGCTTGATGACTTGGGGTTTCCGAGGATAAACAGATTCCACAAGCACTGCCGGACGAGAGAGACAAGCTTCTTAAAAACATTAATGCAAACAAGTACCTACCTTTATTTTTGGTTCTTGGAAGCCTTTTCTGGCTACTATCAGCAAGCACAAATTGCCCGATGATCCAGAAACAGGCAACAGTCACTGATCATCCACTGAACAGAACAATCAACCTCTGAGGACCTTAATTTCTCCAAATTAGAGGCTTTACATCTGTGATAGACTTAGCAAAGTGAATCATACACATTTTGCAAATCATTTCACTACCCGCTTCTGCATTACAAATGACAAAAATGTCAAATCACTGTTTATTTCCATTAAGAAGTTGTCTAAACCATCTGCTGAAGATTTTGAAATGCAGCTTAGAGAGGTAATTGAAAGATTTCTAATAAAAAGGATGATTACTTTTTTGTGACCTTTGATGAAAAATGCCAGAAGTCTAATTTGGCAGTTCCCTTTGCTCAGTGGCACACAGCGAACAGCAGTATTATACTACACTTCAAAACTCCAGCCCACAAAAGATGTGTGCTGCTTGACAGTTTTATTAGAAACATCAGTGACTAACTGATGTCTTTGGCAGAATGGTCTAATTTGAGCTTTTTTCCCCTCATACTTGGTGGCTTCTAATGAACAGCTGTTTCAAACTTCAGGACGTCTTAGATAATTACCCAGACCCCATTGCCATGGCATTTGAGCATCTCACGATTTTAATGGGATTTACCCTCACAATGTTTTCTGAAATAGGGGAATAGAGAGAGAAAAATCTTACACAGGGGGCTGAAATTTAACCAAAAAACAAGCATTCCCTCTCATTCTCTCTGAAGTCTGCTCTCAGCTCATTTTCTGAACTATATTAAATACAAACAAAAATTTACTACCAATAGGCTCCTCGCATGGCAGATTTTGCTGAGAGATCAAAATCTGAAATGGTCTGGAGACAGAGTTCTTATTTTCTGTTCAGTGGAAATGTTATGCAGTAACCATTATTCTGTAGTGGAAGGACCTTCATTTTCTCTACACCGTTAATCTAGCATCAGTCATCAACATTTAAACAGCTCCTGAAAGCACCTAAAACCAATTCTGGTAAGCAGGAAAAGGGTTATGGTACCTATTTTAAAATGGGAGTTAATGTGAGTTTAAATGCTATTAAACACAGTGGTCACTATGGAGCTTCAGAAGAGAAAGCGCTGTCTGTTCCCTCTAAATCCCAGAGAGAACATCTGCTCTCTCTAAAGTAGTCCCAATTTATGTTCAAATGCTTTATTTTTTCAGGAGATTAAAATAACTGTAAAATTATATTCTATGTTTATGGAGATTTACTCTATTCAAATTATCTTTAAAGGCCCTTTTACATTCACTGTGGCTAAACATGCCCTTTTGAGATTCATAATGAAGAAGCAAAGTGTATTAAACCTTGGATTAAAAGATGCTGGCATAATTAGCAGTGGATTTAGCCCTAATTGAAGCAAGGCTATAAATAGTCTTTTCTAGTATATATTGAGATTATAATTTTTTCCATTCCTTGGCTATTGCTGGACATAGCAAGCTACTATTATAAATCAATTATCAGCTTCATTTGTGGTGTGTCGGACACTGCTGATACAGAAATAAACTGTTTGCACATCCTGAAATGCTCAGAGTCCAACGTCATATCTGCAATACAGGCAGGGAGCCTCAGTAGTTTGGGCTGAACTGCCCGCTTCTGCCTCTCTGCCCCCAAATCCTGCCTTGCACAAAATCCTTGCCTGTAATATGTGTGTTGAGTTTTCATCTACGCTATGAGCCCCAGACTCTGCAGAATTCAGCCTCTAAAGTTTCCAACAGGAAAACAAGAATCCCATGATGACAAAACAAACTGATCCTCAGAAATACCTGTTGCCACAATTTTTTCTAAAGGATGGTTGTTCGCTTTAGAAAAGGGACCTCTTACAGACCTCCATGACCTTTACTGTACTGTCCTTCAAAGAGAGGAGCCAGCCAGGGTATTTTTAGCCCCTCTCTTTCCTGGAGGTGGGTCCCAATATGCCCCAGTGAGATCTCAGCGCTGGAGCCCAAGCATCATCCTCATCTCACACACTGCATGCCTCTGCAGCAGCCAGGCAAACCCCTGCCAAATACACCTACTATGTGTATTTTGCAGGAGGCACAAGCTCAGGAACTTCTAGTGTTTGATGAGCTACTGCACTGTCTATTCAGGGGCATTTCTTCTAAATATTGCCGCTGAAGGCTTCTTGACTTAGCAGTGGAAATTAGCTGAAGCAAGCGATACCTGAGAGATGTTCTGTGACATCCAGCAGAGCTTGGCCACTGAGGAAACGCACTCGCTGGGCCAAGGCTTGCAGCAGCAATGCGTTATCTGAAAGAGAAGCATTTTTTTCTACTCACTCTTCTGAGGTTATAAAAAAAAAAGGGGGGGGGGGGGGTCGGGTCAGAGGTAACTGAATTTTTTAAAATAAATTTCTGCCATTTTCTCAGTGCTTTTCTTCTTCTTTCCTTCAGGCCTACTTGGGAGGATTTAAAATTCAAAAAGAAAAGCTCTAATTTCACATTTGTAAATACAAATGTGACCGCTGTACAAGGAACTGTGTTAAACATGTCACATCAGGGCCCTCAAAATTTAAATCACATGTAAGCAGTGAAAAGGTTGTGCATGCTGAAGTGACGTCCTCCCTCCTCTAAGGAAAAGGGTGAGAAGGCTCAAAAGTCCACACATCCATTCACATTTTAAGGATAAACTGGTGTTAAATCTTTAAGTTACCTGTTGGAATCTACAGACAAGATTCCAAGTTATTCTTACAAGAGAGAATTACTGCTCATTGCCAACACCATCCGCTCTTGGGGGCTCTTGTAACATCTCTGAAATCAGATCTTGGCAGACAGACTGGAAAACGAACTGCTTTCCCAATACTTGACAGTCATACGTATTTTAGTTTTTCCTATGCTGTCTGTTGTTGATTTAGGGTCTTGTTTTAATTTATAAACTGTTGCCTGGATTGTTCTGCAAGCCTCCAGTTTTACCACTTCGATAAGTCAAGCAAAGCTTTTCTCGGAGGCAGAATGCATGTGGGATGTGCTATGATACCTCATGATGTCACCAGGAGTGGCACTGATAAAGCAGGCAACGTACTTCTTTGTGAACCACGACAGAGCTAAATCCTGAAGTGGTTTTAAGTAGCACTGTGCTATTAAGTGCTCCTTTTCACATGAGATATAGAAAGGAAGTCCCTAATGATCTTCTTGCAAGCGTGCAGTAAAGAACTGATCCTGCTATCCTAATTAAGCTTCTGCTTTGGTAATTACACTCTTCTCATTCACCTTTTTAAACAGACACTTCACTTTTTGCCTCACACTCTTGCAGTATTGGCAGACCCTGTTTCACACTTGCTGTTCCTCCCCAGAGAGTTAACTTACAGCTGCTGCTTTGAAAAAAACACCCTGAGATCTGGAGATCTTGAAGAAGCACAAAATGTTAATTAATCATTAATATCAGTATCTACACAGATTTTCAGGGGAACACTTGGGGTTTGGGTGGGTGAGGGGGAACTGTTTGTTTGCTTAGTTTTTAGGAATCTAAGTGTATAGGCACTATTCACCTTTCAATTTAAGGGTTTCAAATGCCCTGTGCATTTTGAAACAGTAAAGCTGGAGTCAATAACAAATTTACCCAACCATTACTTTAGCCGCCTTGAGAGACCTAAAGACAGAGGAGCTTTTAATGGCTGTTAGAGAAAACAAGGTGGCAGGCAGTTCAATTCTTATTAATTCAGCTTTAATTCTCTGCACTACATATTAGCTGAACCTGTTGGCCACAGGACACACACCCCAGCATTTGCAATACGAGCAAAAGAAGAATCTGCTTCTCTGCGCTCTCATTTTCACTGTGGTCCCCTCTTTGCTATGTAAACACCTACAGGGGAAATTTCCCTTCCCCTCTTGCAGAGGGCTGGTTCCTCTAGGAGCTACTCGGGCTGCGGGCCTCACTCCACACCCTAGTGTCAGGCAGTGGCCATCTGAATGGCATTTCTTTCAAGACAGAGGACAGGGTAGGACAGATGTCAGAGGAGAGCAAGATCTATGTCTTGGTCCCATTGCAGTCGGGCTTGATTTGCTGATTTGCCGCCATCTACAAGGTGGTTCCCTTGAGTGGGATTAGGGTCCCAGGTCACAGCTAATGAATGTGTGGGGCCTTCAGCTGAGGACGTCCAAGCCAATGTCAGGGTTAAGCTAAATAAATGATTCAGGCATTATTTGGAAGCAAATTAGTTTGTTGGTAGGTAGAATTTTTGTCTTGAGGATGGGGGGGATTTGTTTTGGGCTTGGAGTTTTTTTGTTTTTACATCGAGTGATCAAGCAATTTCCTCACCAGCTTACATTTTTGCCTGGATCATTAAAGGTGACAAATGAGGAAGTCTCACCTAAAACTCAGAATCTGAGGCATGTCAACACAGAGTCTCAGAGCAATAGCTGGGCTCTTAGCTATGAAACTCAGTGGAGCAATGGGGCAAGACATTGTGCTCACTTACTCTAAGCTAGGAGCGTTGCACAATCCTTTAGAGTTCTTGGGGGGGGGGGGGGGCATTTGCCACTTGATTTTAAATTGAAAAGGCAAACAATTTTAAAGCATATGGGAAGGTTTCGCTCATGCATTTTTCCAGTAGAGCCTTCCTTCCCCTACTAAAGCCCTAGGTGTTGAATTTTGAAATATTTGTGATTCAGTTGCCTGTTTGAATTTTTGCAAATGTCCATAAAAATGAGCAGAACCAAAAAAATATATACCACCCTGTTTGCTTGAACCTGTCTCTGGGTAAAGCCAGTGTGATGAGACAGATGTACCTCACTCCTGTTCTGACATCTGTGAGCATGGAAAATTTACAGTGATCTCTCAGAATTGGTGAGAGGGGAATGACAGAAAGCTACATACAAACTCCTGAAGGGATCTGTTTGCCACATCCTCTATTAGCAGGATTCTGCAACTTTTCCCCAACCTTCTCCCAGGCACCACAAAAAATGGATAAGGGCCAAGAGCACTACAGGTCTCACACCCTTCTCCCCACTTCATGATCAGGAATAACCCTATACTTGGGACACAGAAAGACAACAGGTCAGCAAATTCACTGAGTTTGCAAAGCAGCTGATGTGGAGAAAGTTGTTAATTTCCCTCTAAGACCTGCCTCTTCAACACTAAATTTTTCAGGCATATTCACCCAGTGCTGCATTTTCACAGCTGACATAAATCTGTGTGGCAAGGGAATTTACAGCAGACCTTGGCTATGTAGTTATTTGCTATAGCAATCTTGCCCTATGCAGAACAACATGTGGAACAAGCCATCATTTACAGCTGGATTTATACCTGTTTGTTCTAAAGAAATGAAGTTGGCAAATCATAAATTCCCTTTTTAAAAACGAATACAAAGAAGAAAGATGAAAAATAGACAGGACTGGCTAATGCCTATTATATAGAGCCTTCCAGGAAGCAGAACCGCAGCAGCTCTGATGGGCCAGTGTCCCTTCATGCCAATAGCAAAGCAATTCATTTGGGAAGTAAAATTGGGCCCAAACAACCTCCAAAAATCCCTTTGTCCCTGAATTCTAGCAAAGTGGTACTCCAGGATTTATTGTTCAGCTCCTTCTGTACCAAAGCAGACAAGGAGCACAGAGCCAGAGGCTCCTGGGGCTTTGGGGAAATGCTGGTACATATTCAAGCCTGTCTGGGAACTGGTGCATAAAGACTGCACCACCACAGCTTCTGGTTACCCAGCTCACCAGTTACAGTTGGCAGGAATTCAGGTTCTTTGATATATAGCATAAATGACATGAACGATCTGCAAACCTGGAATCAAACACAGAATCCAAACACTTTATGTGGAACCCGCTTTTCTGTACATTTTAATCAGTGTAAGAAAGTCCTGGTGAAAACTTTTACTGATAGCATTCATCTTTCCAAAACCAAACTCCTTGCATCTATAAGTGCACACACACCAGCTCTCATCTCACATTTCAACAGAAATCAGAGCTGGAGTAAACAGCAGATGAAGAGCCCCAGGGACCAGAAACTTCTGGTCACAGCTGCAGCGATGACAGCAGTAACACAAGTGCACTGATGAATCTACAGCAGAAGATCAAGAGGGAAATTCAGGCCTGGATTCATCTCGCCAAACTTTAAACACTTCACTGAGGTTTCAGTGGGTAGATGTAAACACCTCCAGCAAGCTACACAGAGCAGCCTGAGTCTCTCTGCCTGATGGAAATGTGTGCAAAAAGAAAACCAGGCAACATCAACACCTCTCCACTAGATCCTTGCAGCTGGATCCTCCAGGGGATCCAGCTGCCTAAAACAAAGTGCATAAGAATAACCTACAAATCACAGAGAACAACGCTTTCCATAGACTTGGGTCTGGTTTTCAACTGTGTCCCCTGGCTGCAACGAACCCTACCAGCCCCTTCTTCACTTAAAGAGCCACCCAGTTGTCTGTCCTTGTAGTCATTGCTGTGAATCATTAATATCAACCGTAAAACTAAGGTGAGACAAAAAAAAAAAAAAAATCTTAGTATAATCCCATTCTACTTTACTCCCATCCTTTTACTTCTGCTTTTCTGACCCCCTTATTTTTAGGTTACTGCCTCCAAATTAAGGCAAATTTAAACCTGTGGCAGGTGAGGGGAAACAGGGAGCTAACTTCAGGACAGTATCTCCATATGCTTTTAAGAAATACATACTACCCACACACATACAATCAGTTTCTACAGCAGATCACGAGGAAATTATTCCGAATACACTGACCAAAAAGTAGCTGTTAAAAGATGTTTTGATGAACTGTAGAGACACTGATGCAGACTTCTGTAGTACTACCCATGAAGGAACATGCCACTATATTTGCAAGTCCACAGCATGCAAACACAGTTTTTGGACAGCAATAATGGATGGGCTGAAGATGCACTCTGCGGGGCAGGTGCCTCCAGCCGAAATGAGCCTGAGGATCCCTGAGAGCTTCAGTATGACCCTGGTAGGCAGCAGAACACATGCTGCACAACCTGCAGCAGGCCATATGGTTCAGGACACAGGGCAGATCAGGACGTCACCCTCTCCCTACTGCAGGTACTTATTTTACATCAACAGACATACTTGCAGCCCCATGCTCAAGCACCTAGAAAAGGGGACAATAATGGGCTCCTTTCCCTTCTGGAAGAAGGGAGCCCAGGCAATTCTAACCCCACACACGTGAGACCTCCAGGCTGACTATAGAACAAGCATTTCATCCTTCATCTGATCTCCACTATGATCTTTCATAACACAGTATCTTATTAAATTTAAGGTCTCAATCTTTAGATTCATAAGGACATTTTCATTGGGCTTTACATGGCTAAACTACTACCTAAAACTACAAAATGAGTAACTGAGTTCAAAGGTTTTCATATTGTAGTCAGCAAGGGACAGACACATCTGCTCGGGAGAGCTGCCACTGCCAGAGCATGGAACAAAGCCCAGCGAGAGCAAAGAGCCTCCACCATCCTTCCCACCATGTGTTTCAAGGAAAAGGCACATTCCTTTCATCTTGTTTTAGTGGATATAAACTTAACAGAATGCACATCTTAGAAATCCAATTCAATAAAAACAAAATGCATGCAGTTTCCCAGGAGGAAGAGGGAAAAACAGTCATGCTGGATGCTAGTCACTTCCCTCATGCTCTTCTGGCAGGAACTTAAAATAATCCCTATAAAGTCTTCTCTACTGAATTAATAATCAGACATAAGATCCAGGTGATAAGCAGCATCCATTCAGCTGCAGATCACAACATGATACAACAGATTGGGATAGAAAGAATGCAGGCAGGACTTCATAAACATCTTGCAGCAGCTGGATATTTCCACAGACGACACCAGCTATCAATAGACTTGGTGTTCGCTTGACTCTGAGACATAGAAGCCGCAGTTGAGGAAAGTCAGTGTTAGAGGTCAGCCTTACCTAGGTGAGCAATGGATGCTTCCAGCACTTTCACAGCTGCAGCATAAATCCCTGAGCGTTTTGAGTTCAGGTTGTCAGTGACTGCTGCTACCAGAGAGACCAGCACTGGGTGTAAGGCATATTTGAGTATGGGTGTCATCAAAGCCAGCACCTCCAGCGCCTGCTGGTTCACTTTCTTGTTGCAATCCTGAAGTCTCAGGACAAAAATATCAAAAATCTGTTAAGAAAACAAACGACATGAAAGCTGGATTAAAATGTCTTTGTTTCAAGACGAGATGTAGAAAAAAGTACCCAGCAGTGTAAAAGATGAATGTAATTCTTTCTGTCAGGTCAGCACTTGCTAGCACAATTTCACTGTTTTCCTGTGGGCTACTCACTGTAGTGGTTGCACAACCTCACGCTGGTTGAAAAGATTTTCATATTTTATTAAGAGCTTTGGGTGGGGACAGGATAGTTCATATGCTGTTCTCTTTACCCACAAATGGTTAAATTAATCCCACATTAATAATGCAAAATAGTATCTTTGGTATAGAGGTATGAAAACAAGTATTTATGATGGCCATTTTTCCATAAAGTTGTCTCAAGTACTGAGAGTAGTTTTCATTTTGCCAAAACTGTGACTGGATGAGATCCAAGTTTTGTTTTATCTGTCTCAGAACCTGTGTCTGAAGGAGTGCAGGGCTCTGATAAACTCTTCAGGATCCAGACCATTTGTCTAGCTAACAGGTAGACTTCTGAAGTTTAATGTGCTGTGCAGTTCTCATTAGAGCAGGTTCAGTCCCTTAACAGCCACATTATCAGGTGCCATTTTCGGGAAAAGAGGAAAAAAGCAGCTGCTGGGAAGAGAAGGAAGAGAAGATCTGTCTCTAGACATTTTCCTCCTCTTTCCAAAGAGAAAAAAGGACCCCTGGGAAGTGTGAGAACAGTCTTTCCTAAGCAGGAAGGGGATGAGGATGAAAGTGAATAGGCAGAGTTGTGTCCGTGCAAGGCAAAATAAAGTTTACAGGAGCATCCTTTAAAAATTTTTTTTTTTTTTTTTTTTTAATCAACCCAGCCTGATACTTCTCTTCCCCATTCCAACACATTTTTCTTCTAAAGAATAATTGCCAAGCTTCAGTGGCTAGATTTCCTTTATTTCAACCTAACTGGTAGTAGGAGACAGCAGAAGCTACAGCAGCAGTAAACTGTCATGATCTCATGAACAGCACCAATAGGCACCTGCCAGAGAAATACATCTGGACTGAAACTACTTGCCCTGAAGCCTGGAATTGAATTAAATTATTCTGGGTAAGAAGGGACCAGCCTGTCCCAAACAACTAGTATGTAGTGCCAAGACACACTGAGTTAACTTTACTGGTACAGGTTTGGGAAGGGAGCTAATGGGAAAGGAGCAATAGAGATGCCCTGTGTACCTGGACAATGTTAGTGGAGACGAACTGGGGGCTGCTTTTGCAGTGATCTAGGAGGAGGTCCACTCCCTCCATTCGTGTCTGAAACTCCGTGGCTGTCAGGAGCCTGAAAAGCTCCTTGAGCTGTTCAATTTCTTCCGCGGTCCGAAGTGATGTGCGACGGACTGTCTGATGGGGTAACACGTCTATATCAGAGCCAGACTTCAAGCTGGAAAATAAAAACAAGGCAAGACCTTTTAGTGATAATGTCTTCAGTTAATTGTGAGGAAAACATCTCGAGGAGACTTCCTAATGACATGATTTCAGCTAGATCCTATCTGAAAAACAACTTGGATCTCATGACAATCATTACCAGAGACGATTTACAAGTAACATTATTGCTAGTGCTTACTCAGGAAAACCAAGGCACCAAGCATGGGATTCATCTCACTTATCTTCAGATATCTTCCCAGGTACTCATCTAGCATCCCTTTGTGGGGAAAAATAGGCACTACTTCAAAGTTTAAATGTTTTGGGGCATTTGAATGGGAGGTGTCTGTATTATAAGGAAATTACTCTGGAGAAGTGTATCTACAACAGGTATGGGGATCTGGATAAATAGCTCAGATGCATCTGAACAGATGAATCCTACCCAGAGAAATTAAGTGGCATATCTGAAAGAATCCAGAGGGTCATTAATAGAGATGAAAACAGAAGCCAGACATCCCACCACTACGCTCACATTATTGCTTCCCTAGGGACTAGATCCACAGCTTAACAAACCTGATGGGAAAAATTCTCTTGGATCAACCTCTCTCTGCCATGAGCATGGGAAGATCCTAACTATGCTAATAAGAAGTGTGGTCACCTTCCTGCCACTACTGAGCGCAACAGGGCTAAATAAATCCACTCTGTTATCAGAGAACAGGTACAAGTAGCTCTCCCACTGGCATGGGGAGACAGCAAGGACCAAATTCCTATCTTGAATGCTGATTGCAGCACAGGGGAAAAGAACATGCTGTCCATCAGCCAACCAGTAATGGGTCTGAATGACATGAATAGCTACAGAAAAAGTCCACGTTGAGACATCTGTTGACCAGAACTGCTCAGGAATTGTCTTGCTGGTACTGTTTGAGGGACAGAAAGCCATGATTCAGTGAGGCCAAACCACATGTATCGAAAGTGCTATTTTGGGGAATGGCATCATGGTTCTAGACTGGGACTTCTCGTCAAACCACCCATCTAAAAAAGACGCCACTCAGATAAGAATACCCTGATCGAAATTACTGGTCCAAAGTCAAACAGCAGAGACACGACCCTCTCACAGCCTCCACAACACTGTCCTTGCCACTGCACTGGATCTTCTGAGCTGCAACTGCTCGCTGTCTCTTCCTCTCTCTCAATCTTTCTAGAAAACCCTCCAGAGAACTTGTGTTCAGCCTAATGCAGAAGTAGACATTTTTTATCATAGAAGATTTATGGGGCAAGGAAAAAATCTCTGGCACAGCTCATCTCCACCAGAAAGAGTTTACTGAGGAAGAGACATGTAAAGCTTGTCATGTGCTTTGTCAGGTATAACAGAAGTGCTCAGTACCCTCCATCAGAAGGCAAGTTGTCCTGGGACATCTTCAAGCCGCGGTTCCTAGACTTCCTGGTGTTCTTGACAGGTGGACGTTCACATTTATGATCTTCTATCCCCTAGATATATATATAAAAAAACCATGAATCTATAGAAGATGAAATAGGAAATTACTTGTTTAAAACACAGGTTATAACCAGGATCACTGCTACCAAGAAAGGCTTAGGAAAACATTTAATAACTTAGAGAGGGAGACAGGCCAGAGATTCAGTGATGTCTACTATTTGTCTTCAATAACCCAAGGCAAGTTATAGGTGCTACTGTAATGGGCAGCAGTAAAAAATCCTGAATTCATTATTCTTGAGCACAAATGGGAATAATGCAAACTGGTAGGGAACAAGCTTTCTTAAAGGGAATAGCAGGAAACTTTTGGACTCTCTGGAGGTCCCATTGTGTTGGGAGTTGATTTGGTTCATACTCAACTCTCCCTATTCCTGCACAAAGGCACATTCCTTTCTAGAATGTAAATTAAGGGGGGGGGGACGGGACGGGGGGACGGACAACACGACACATGACAAAAAAACCAAACAAACCAGGGATGAGTTTCCACTGGATGCTGAATTCACGAAGCTTCTTCCAGCTCCACAGTGCATGACAGCAGGGCAGTATTCCCAGAATACAGACAATATATGTACTAATTATGGTTGCCTTGTGCATCTTTTGTATATTGGGAAATTTTCTTGGCACTACTACTTCCTTCATCTGTTGCAAAGACTCTATTATCTTCAGAAGCACTATTCTCACTTCATTGCTTTATTGGGGGGGGTAGTGTTGAGGTTTCTTATGCTTGAAGGTAAAACCATTTTCTCCTACTTCCCTTTCCTGTTTGTGGCTGATATTCAAAATACAGCCACTTTATTTCTAACCAAACTAGTTCGTTCACTGCCTGCAGATAAACAGGCTGAGGATCAACAGTTCATTCCCAGGAGCGAAATGATTCAGTGGAAGAAGAATGAGATACAGAAAGATTAGGTATGTTTAATCTCATACTAGCAATCTCAGTACTTGCATAAAGGAGACATTTCTCCTGCCAAGCACTTACTTGCTGCTTAACTGTTGCCATAACATCTTCCAAGTCACGTGAGGGGACAGACTGTTTCAAATACCTATCAAATTTTCGATGACTCATCAATATATTCAGCATCCTCCGTCCATAACACCTAACACAGGAAGGAGAGAAATGAATACAGACTGCTACTGCCTTTTCTCCCTTGTGAATAAACAAAGGAAGTGTTAATAGAATAAGCTGATATTTTAAACTTATAACGTGCAATACATTCATGAGAAGGTATTACCCATTCAGCAAACAGAGATATTTGCCTCCACTTGTTGTCACTGCACAATGCTGCCAGCTGAACACAAGAGGCAAGAAGAGAACACAGGGCAACAGGAAAATACAATTTCACTCTGAAATTGTGGGTATGCTTCTGTGGGATCGAGGGATCCCATGGGACAAGCAAAGCATATCTCCTGCTTTGCTGTCATGGCTTATTTGCAGTGCCTTTCTGCTGTTGACAATAATTTACCTTTCTTTAACTGGCAGAGAAGCTAGGACAAATCACCTCATGCTTACTATTTGTTTTCTATACTACATGTATGCATATGGGCAGCTAGCTGCTCATGTGTTCTTGGCATCTGTTAATGGGAATCTAAATTAATAATCAAAGTAAGGGTTTTTTTTGTTTGGTTGGTTGGTTTGGTTTTGCTACTATGAAGCTACAGCTATCTTCAAGAGGAAATTTGGAGGTCGTTCAGCCACAGACAACAACATTATACAATGACTGGGAAGAAAAATTTGTGAGTATCGTAGACAGCTATATCTGAAGAAGACATTTAGAAAGACTGAATACATTGGTTAAAGACAGCTGGAATTTTTCTAGGACAGTCTTAACCTTATCAGAAATATATGCTTGGGATCTTTCAGTGATGAACAGTGGCGAACACTTCAGCTTTGCATTAAGCACATAAGACCAAACAAAATTGTTTGACTGACTAATCTGAGTTCAGTTGATCTGAGTAAAGAATCATTCAAGTCACAGGAATTTGGCAATGGTCATTCTTGCTGGACAACCTCATGTTACCCAGTACTGTCATTTCCTGAGACAACATTATCCACACTGTGAAGTTGTCGTGGTTTAACCCCAGCCAGCAACTAAGCACCACGCAGCTGCTCACTCACTCCCCCCCCATCCAGTGGGATGGGGGAGAAAATCAGGAAAAGAAGTAAAACTCCTGGGTTGAGATAAGAACGATTTAATAGAACAGAAAAGAAGAAACTAATAATGATAATGATAACACTAATAAAATGACAACAGTAGTAATAAAAGGATTGAAATGTACAAATGATGCGCAGGGCAATTGCTCACCACCCACCGACCGACACCCAGCCAGTCCCCGAGTGGCAAATCCCTGCCCCCCCCTTCCCAGTTCCTAAACTAGATGGGACGTCATATGGTATGGAATACACTGTTGGCCAGTTTGGGTCAGGTGCCCTGGCTGGGCATGAGAAGCTGAAAAATCCTTGACTCTAGTCTAAACACTACTGAGCAACAACTGAAAACATCAGTGTTATCAACATTCTTCACATACTGCACTCAAAACATAGCACTGTACCAGCTACTAGGAAGACAGTTAACTACATCCCAGCTGAAACCAGGACAGAAGGAAATTTCTTAATATTTACTTTACCTTCCATTCTTTTGTGGTTTTATCATTAATAGCCAGACATCAAACAGTTTTCATATTTTAGGAGGTGAAATGAAGATCATCACCTTGTGTCCGGATGACAGTCCTGAGCAAGCTTCACCAGCGTGCTCACCAGGACGTCAGTACTGGCACGTGCGCCCGACAGGAGCTTCTCAGCTCCGATTCGCTCCATCGCAGTCACTAGGTGTTTGGCCGCACACCTTCGCACCAGGACGTTGCGGTGCCTGGAAACAAGAGAACAAACACTGGGGCAGAGGGAAAAGGAGGGCCAGAAGCACAGTCCTTGGTCACAGCATGCTCCCCATAATTGCTGGGGGAAGGAGGCATGTGTTCTTGCTGCAATTGTAGCCACCTGTAGAAGATTCTGTCCTCAGATAAACACAAAGTTGGCATAGTACAAAGAGACTACCTGCAAGGAAGAGGGAGGAATTTAATCTCCCTGGACTATCTGATACTCTATTTCTTTCCCAAAATTAACTCTGAGAAAGAGTGAAACAAAAGACAATTCATGCTGACTTGGCAGAGGGCTTTCACCACACAGGCAAAGCTGCAGCAGGATTTAGGCTTATTCCACCCGTTTATCTCCAAATCAGCAGACCCTTGAAAAAACAACAAATGGGGGGAAAAGCCCTGTGGGGCATGAAGCCGCAGAATATCCAGCAATGCAGCCAGTTTGTTCTTTGGGGCTTGGCAAGAGGTGCATTTGAATGTTTTACCCTTTTCAAAAGCTGAGGAAAGGGTAGCAGTCATTTTAGCCAGGTTGTCCTTTCTAGAAGGTGCTTATTTGAAACTATCAGGCACAGCACTGATATTTTAAGGCAGCATTTGCTTCAGCTATCCCATGGGAGCCAGCCTGTGAAGGCGCCTGTAAAGTGACTCACCATCTCAATGCTAACATGCAGCTTCAATTTGAATAGAAAGTGGAACTCTAAGGACATGACAGTCAGACAGACTCCTCTCAGCAGGAGCTGTACCTGCTGAGCAGGCTGTGCCACACACAGCGGGTTCTCCCCCACGTGCTCCATGTCCCAGCAATTAGCCTCTTTATTTCTCAAGTTAATGGCACAATGATGATGCATGTTTTTTCCCAGGGCCTCTGTGGTTAGCATGAAATATCAAAGGGCACTCACTGCTGGAATTGCCATTGTCCCTCTTCCCACAAAGCCAGAAGGCTGTATCACCACCCTTTACAGGGACTTTCACTTCCCCATCATTTACCACATCTAGGCAATGTTGACAGACTGTGAGAACAAATAGGCTGCAGTAGAGCAGAACCAGATAACAAGAGAAAGGGAGTGAGGTTGATCAGAGAATCTAATCACCGAGTTCACAGAAGATGCAGGAGAAAGGACCCTTCCCTCCCATCATTCCCCTTCTGCCTCCCATCATTCCCCTTCTGCCTCCCATCCCTTCCCCCTACCACACAATTTAAGGTGAAGGATATCACTAAGAGAAGAACGTACTGGACTCCAATAGCCATGAAAGCAGTCATTGCTCGTGCAGGAGTCACGGTCCCCACCATGATCCCCAGGGATCGATTGGCTGCTTTCTGAATGAACTCGTTGGAATCCCCCATCCTCTGGAGCAAGACCCGAGCAACCTCATCCACCTCGTGGTCCATGTCTTTCGTCATGGTCCTGAAGAGCTCTCCAAGAGTGCTGATTGCAAAGCGAGACACCTTTGAGCGGAGGTTGTTCACCTGGGGAAGTCATGAGGGGAAACGTAAGAATCACCTTGTAAAGAAAATCAGTTCCCCTAGACAAAAGTCCTAGGAAACAACAAGACTTCTTGCTGTGTCCAGGTGGAACATAAGAACATGGTAAGAGCAGAAGACTACAAGAAAAAAAACCACACTTACTCTGATACCAACTTCTTCTCTGGCCTCAGGCCCACTTATACAATACAATTTTAATGAGGCTGCAGGCTTAAAAATATTGTTTCACCTAGAAAAAATTGTGCTACTTAGCCATAATGTACACTGCTTTGATTTTAGGCCCTTTTACTGAAAACAAACAAACAAACAAACAAAAAAATTAAAGCAAGGTCTGTTTTTAAACTATAAAGGTGCAATTCATAAAGACAAGATAGAGGAAAAGTAGTCGTTTCCTCCTATCAAAAATTGCAGCACTGGCAGTTTGAGCACTCAGCCAGGAAACTTAAAATATGGGCTCAAGTCTACAGACTAATTCACAGCAGGAACTTGAGTCCTTCTGCAGCTCCATCTACTCAGGAGAACCCTAGCAGTTGGACTTAAGGCACTTAAGGATCCTGGAAATCACATGTAATTACAGCTGCAATCGGTGGGGTTTTACAGCATTCAGTGCTGCTCTGGAGTGATCCCTGCTTCCAAAAGGTTCTCCCCACAAGGGTAAGGAAGAAACATCTCAGAGTCATGTGCTTCATTTGAAAGATACTTTGAAGGACAGACCAGGGATTCTTTCTGCTGGACTTAGTTGTGCCTGTTAATAAACACGAACCATGTAAATGCTAGAAGTGCTTGTGAAAGCAAAATCTGGGACTGGAATGAAATGAAAGCTGAAAGATGTCTCTGCACATGAATGTGTAGAACAGAGAGGAGGAAATTTCCTCAGAAATACAAAAGTGATATAAGAATCAGATGAGCTAAGCTGAAAGGGCTTCTTCTCCTAACCCCGATATCAGAGTGGGAGAATCCGAGTCCTGCATATCTAAACAGAAAGGTTTGAAGAGTCCAACAACCCAAGGGGCATTCAAGCCTCCAACGTCATTAAATATTAGATAGGAGGACTGATTTTCATGGAAATTAACTAAGTCTTACTGTCTTCTGCCAGCAAAGGAAAATTCAATATATTTGGCAATCATGTAATAAGAGTACAAGGCAGCTGGTTCAGGCCAGAGACAAGTGCCAAGTCAGAAATATAGCCACAGATGTTAAGGAGCTGAGGTTGAGACCTCTCTGTTAACTGAGAGATGAGATAGTGAAGCTGTGTGTGACTGCCCTGCAAACCCCACAGCCAGGCCACGCCAAGCACCCAGTGGTTGCAGTGCAAAATTCCATCGGTGCACGGAGGCAACAGATCAATGGGCAAATTACCAAAAAGCACACAGAAAGGAAGAAGGAGAAGCCATCATCAGGAAACACTGGAAAATAAAAACCTGCAGTCAATCCCCCAGGATGCTGAGGAGGAGGAGGAAGTGGGAGGAAGCTGGGAGGCAAAAGCTGCAGTGTTTAATTACAGCTTGGGCAGAGATTTGGGCTGTGGCAAATCACCTGATTAGCGTCTCAGTTTCTGCATTTGTATATTGCATTATAATGACACCTAGCTCAAAGAGGAGAGATGTCCTACATACCAGTAAATATAGCTATATGTACAGACAGATCATATAGATAGGTGACGTAGCTATTAGAAAAATGAGGTCTAAAAATAGTAATGAAGGCAGACACTGAGCACACATGTAAATGAATAAGCACATATCTACTTTACGCCCCATGTACAAGGTACATTGGACACAATTAAACATAATGTTCTTACCTCCTTGGTAACTGCCAAGGAAACATCATGAAGTCTACAGAGAAGGACTTCTGAGTGGCAGATAGCCAGGCGTCTGACACTGAAGAGTCCCTTCATCTTCTGTTCCCTGAAAGGCAATTACCAAAAAGATTGATTTTTCTCACCACCCAAGAACTAGGCAGCACCCTCTGAAATTACCAGGGAGTCGGCTCAAACAAACAAAGGCAGGTGCTTCTCATACAGGACTTACTTAAATCACGGAACTCGTTGCCACAGGATGCTGTGGCAGCCAAAAGCATACATAAATCCAAAAGGTAAATAGATGGTTTCAGAGGGGATGGGTTAATTTGTGGCCATTAAACAAGACAGCCTTTCTGAAATCCCTGGCACACAAAGTCCCTATGTCACTGCTTCCTAGAAGCTGGGACATTGTGCCATGTTTCTGTTTCTTGCACCCTCCCTGTACCCTGTCTCTGAGATACAGTCCTGCCTGGCTGTTACTGGGCATTTTCCCTCTTTGCCATCCCCAGAGGGCAGTTCAGGAGTGAGAGTCTGCACTGCCACTCCATAGCTGAGTTTGCACTCTGCAATCTAGTCGCCGTGTCCACCACCACCCCACTCCACCCCTGCCACCAAAAAAAGCAGTATGTCCTAAAAGATCCCACACCTGGGCAAGAACAGCCAAAATGCTGGATTTTCCAGAAAAACACTACTTAAAATAACACCCACAACAGCAACATGTTATTTAAAAGTAGTAAAAACACGTCTCTTTCAGCACTTTCTTTGTGAAGGACCTGAGCTACATGAAGGCACATGACGCATCATGGGTTCACCAGGGCTGCAGGGTATGACTAGGGACCCATCCCCACTGGGGTCCCTGAATGTAACCTGGACCCCACACACCTGCAGCAGCTTTCTGCACCTCACAGGGCACCAGACAGGAACAGGGAAGAGAAAGGGGAGAGGTGCAAAACAAAGCAATCGCACAAGGAGATGCATCATGGGAGATTTTTCATGGTTATCCCAGTATGAACAGAGCCCTAGTGAGTGTATGCTGACCCAGAAATCAAAAAGACAACCAATATCACCTGAAATTTGTAGTGTCCTCCTGTCTGCGTCTAATTTCAGGACACACTGTGATTATCAACAAAACATCTTAGGCCCATATTAAGCAGCAAGGAGGAAAAAGTTTAATTCTAAAAGTGCAAGATTCCTAAAGGATTATTTTTTTTTCCTTATCTTTTGCCATGAGCCCTTCAGGAGAAATGACAGGCTGAGGAACTCTGCACCATGTCTCAGTCTGTTTCTCAGAAATAGGAACTCCCCATAGGCACTCCTGGGACTTAGGTGCAGTAGGTCACAGGGACGCCCTGTCTCCTGCTGCCAGCAGTGGGAGCAGAGATAAATCCTTAGTCAGTCCCACCTGGGCCAGTAACCCGAGGCCCCCAGTCTCTAAACTCAAGACAGCTTCCATCATGCTTCTGGCTTCAGCCAGCAAATCATCTTGTTCCACAACTTTCTCTCTTCCCTGAAGATTTTGTTTGCAGCTACATGGACCAGAAGACAAAGCTAGGAAACAGCATGGACCTGCTGCGGCTGTAGCACTGCTACAGACCAAGGCAAATAAAAGGCTGCTCTCACATCTTTATATTGTGACTGCTTTGGAGTGGTTTCACTAGTTCCCTTTAGACATCTGGGCTGTCTGGGCCCAGAGGCACTAGAAATAATTGCTTCTAACTGAGCTTTATATTGAGAAGGAGAAAGACCGAACAGGGGGCTTTCTTACCAGTCATCACTGCTGAGCCATGTGAGCGCATCGAGCAGCCCCTGCTGTGGGTGAGGGAAGGGTCTGGCTTCCTCGGCGATCCCACCCTCTGGCTCCTCTTCCTCCTCCAGGACGTCCAGAGCAATGGCTGGCAGCGAGATCGCTGTAAGGAGAGGGTCAGGCACCAGCTTCACATATTGCAGGGCAAGGCACCCCACCACCAAGCAGATTGCAACTTAATCTCCCAGCCAAGGTTACATACGGTTGCAAACTGGCATTGGTTCAGACTTCCCTGCTATCTGGCTCATTGCTTTCCCCAGGACCCAGCCACCTCCGGAGTCACCCCCAGCTGGGCACCAGCTCCTTGTGTAAACCTGAAAATTGCACACACAGAGCCAGCTCCCAAGTCCCTATAGGTACCACAGCCAGCTTGCAGTTTCATAGTGCCACAGAGCTCACACACTGGGAGCCAGTGCCGCCCAGCGAGACTTGCTACCCCAGGAATGAGCTCCTGAAATATGCACATAACTCCCTGTATCACCTCCCTGTTACCTGGAGCACTGGGGAGAGAGGCACCCTGTAACTTTGAGGAAACATCTCCAGCTGCCCCCAGTGAGCAGCAAGCCTGAACAACTGAGTCCCGCTGGGCTCGGGTGAATCCCCAAGGAGCAACCACCAGGGAACAGTGATACCTGACCCTCTAAATCTGACAGTGCCTCTGTTTCCATTTACTTCAAATATTCTAGACAGCAGGCAGCTGAGTGCACACACATTTTAGCATACTATTGGGAAAGTAGTAGTTTATGGATTTTGCTATTTTCCAAGCGTTATGAATATTTACTATTTCAGAGGTACCCACTGGCTGTATTTTGAAGATGCTGAGGTGAAATTTATTTGTCATCAAATGCACTTGTTTGCAAACTGTGTAATGCCTAAGCTTTCTCTTGTGGAAAAAAGCAATTTCTAGTGTAGATAGTTGTGACAAAAAAGCCTTCCAAATGTGAACCAAGAATAAAAATATGTAAATATAGATGCAAATTGTTGGCAAACGCACTCTCTTGATGATAAATATACAAGGTATAAAAAAAATCAGATGACAAATGCATTTGTTATGAAACCTATTTGTCATCAAAAGCACTATAGGTCAAAAATTTCATGTCTTGCACTCAAAAGCTCATTTTCTAAAGTGTAGATGGAAACATCTGAGCTGTCTAAAAGTATTGAGTATAAATATTGCACAGAATCTAGATGAACTGCTATGGACTCTGTAGGGGTTTTATGCTACCTCATGTGTTCTACAAAATATGGAGGATGGAGGAACTGTAAAATCAAAAAATATTCAGATGGGGACTAATTTGGATGTCACCAATATCACTGTCACTGACATCAGTGATGTCACTGCATGAGTATGTAGATATACACATCTATATTCAATATGAATGGAGAGCCATGTCAGGCTAGTTCTGGTCAATTTTGAAAATCAGAGTATCATCACTAGAAAAGAGCATTCAAAGTATCATTCCTAGCTCCCTTTTTCTTAACTCACACTACTCCGGATCATAACACCAGGTAGGCTACCCACAAAGGAGAGATGAGAATCACTATGGACTTGCTATCTGCTGTAGATTTATTGCAGGTAGCAAGCAGCCTGGGAGCACCAGGCAGCCTCTCCTGTATGTCATCTGCTACACACAGCCACTGTGTTTGGGTGGGGTGACAGAAGAGGCACTGCTTGTTCCCAGCTTGCATTGCAGGCGGTGGAATGAGAGAGGCTAGAAACCATTAAGCACTTTTAGGTGCAATAGCATGATTGTACCAAGTCACTAATTTCCATGCAGAGACAACCCTTGCTGTGATAGCAGAAAAGCTGGCTGGAGAGCCAGACAGCAGCACAGGCAGAGGGCCAAGATGGTGAGTGGCTAATTGATCATGGTGGTACGCATATGTGTACAGTTAGCACACCCTGCCAGACTTCACCGGAGCTCAGCCCTGCATTTACAGCTGCCTCCCAGCACCAGTGTTATATTTTGGACTATCGGTATGGGCAAAAGCTAGAGCTTAAGGCTTTACCACTACTTTATTCAGCTAAGCTTTCCAATGGATCTGTAAGCACTAAGTGCTCCAGTATCACCAAGCTGGAGTGGATCCAAAGCAAGTTTGCTCTCAGTCCTCAGGACAGGCTTTGGACCCAAGATCCTACGTGTAGTTGAGGAATGAGGCAGTTTGTGCTCCTTGTGCAAGGAAAGAGCTGATGTGGGGGCTTCAGCGGAGGGGGCTCACCTGAGGACTTGCGTGGGAATCTGCCACGCTCTCTGATGACGGGGATGCTGGGCAGTGAGGGCCTGTTGACCCGCTTCCTCAAGGCACTACCAACGCGCTTTCTGCGTGCATTGCTCATGCTGGGGGAAGTGAAATCTGTCCCATTGACAGGCGGTAGGCCAAAACCTGCAGAGGCTGAAAAGGACCTTGTAAGTGAAGAGTGCTGGAAAGGGTGGCTATGGGCTTGGAAAGGGCTAGAAAACTTGCTGGAGCTGGGTAACATCCCTTTGTTGTCCCAGACAACTCCAAGGATGAGTAAGAGTTGCATTCTAATGTGGGACAGTGATCACAGAATCATAAAACAGTTTGGGTTGGAAGGGACCTTTAAAGGTCATCTAGTCCAACCCCCCTGCAATGAGCAGGGACATCTTCAACTAGAGCAGGTTGCTCAGAGCCCCGTCCAGCCTGATCTTGAACACCTCCAATGATGGGGCATCGACAACATCTCTGGGCAACCTGTTGCAGTGTTTCACCATCCTCATTGTAAAAAAGGTCTTCCTTATATCTAACCTAAATCTACCATCTTTTAGTTTAAAACTGAATGCAGTGATGCTTTCCCTAAGAATGAGGAAAACTCAGTACTGCTTGTCTTTTGGTTTCCTGTTTCAGAGGCTGAATAGGGAAGTTACATTTCTAGGGGTCCCACCTCAGCACTCCTCACCAGTACTTCACAAAATAATAGCAAGAAAAAGAGCAGATAACCTTGTCATTGCCCTTGGGCTGAGTGCTGACTTTTAAGTTCCCTGCCACTGCACTTGTGGTAGCGCATGCAGCAGTACAATCAGAGCCCATCAGCTGCAATTAAGTCAGCAACGCTGCGTGCTCATGTGGGTAAAATATAAGCACTGGCTAAGGGCTCCAGCATGGCTCTGCAATGCAAGCTCCTCAGCAAGGAGTGGTGTGAGCAGGATAATCTGTCCTATCACGTGAGAAAGGTCTTTTGTGTTTTAATTAGAAATGGTTTAATTTTGTTTCTTCCAAGTTGCACCTTGGTTGAAAAGCATTCTTTTGGACTCATCCATTCACTTTTCCTGGAGGCTACTCTCAATTACAGAGTCTGAAGCCCCAATGTAGTTTGCAAGACAAAATTGTCTAGTCTGAAAGACTTTATAGAAGGGGGGGGAAGGTGATATTCTGTGACTGACTCAGTGTGGGCCACGGGCAAGACACTTCATACCTCTGTATTTTCCTTTGGAAAATGGAAATAAATTCTCTTCTGATTTCCACTTAGATGCAAGTGTAACAGCCTTCCGGTCTGATTTCATAGACACTTGCACCACTATGCAAATAGCAAGCAAGTGAACAAAAAGGCCCACAACTATAGCAACCACTTACTTTCTTCGGCTGCATCCCCAGGGTCAACACTCTGTGTAGGGAGTTGCAAGGACTTTTTCTCTTCTCTCTCTTTCTCCTTCTCTCTACGCAATAGCTCCAGCTGTCTCATTCGCTTCTGGTGTATTTTCTTCTGAGCTGACTTGGACAAGGTAACATGGATCTAGTTGCAAAGGTAATACATCATGGAGCATAAAGAGAGATACACAAAGCATATACAACACCTCATCAGGAACACAGTGGTAGAGCCTCATAGTCTTTAATGCAGCTCCATATACATCGCAACAGTTTCAGAAGAACTCCTCCTTTCCTCACTGTGGCATACAATTACACCCAGTGATGTATAACACTTTACTACTGTAACTTTCCACTGGTCCAAGATACTGTTTCTCAATCTATGTCAGGAAGCCCTGCTTGAACAAAGAGAGTCAGGAATGCTCCAAGATGTATGAAGAGCTCACATGACCAGTAAACAGGCAGTTCAGTTCCCTCAGGCCAGGGTGGGGGAATAAAAACCATCTGCAATAACCAGCAATGAGAGGTAATTTGCTGTTTCTTAACACTCACAGCCAGTAATTGCAGCTGCTTCTCACTTCCTTGCTTCTGAAGGACTCAGCTGCTCTCTGAGAGCATGAGTCCAAAAAAGGAGTCATGTGAAAACAAGTTGGAGAAACATTGGTCTTAATGAATAGAAAAATTGAGAATGAGAGGGCTGTGAGATACAGCAAGAAAGGTAACCAAGGAAAATTAAGCTCTCCCATTTTATTTGGCAGCCTTGCTTACACTCAACGTTATAATCTTTGCTTCTGTGCTTCCAAGCATGCACTTTGCACATGTTCGCTGATGTGTAACTTGCTCTGCCATTCAGATCTGCTCTAAATTGGCTTTTGTACATACAGAATGCTTCTTGCATAACTTTAGCACCATCTCCCAACCAGCGACTTCTGCACCAGTGAAAATACTCAAGCAGTTACTCTGCAGCTTTCAAATGTATTCCCAAGAGAATCCACTCCCCGAGGGAGGAAGGTTATGATTTTCAGTGACATTTTGTGCTAAGCACTGAACACTCACTGAAAAGGAAGCCTGCTCACGTCTGTCCTTAGCCCTTACCCTTCCATTGCTGTCCTTCAAGTCATCGTCACTCAGAAGGGGAGCACTCATGAGATGATCCATCTTCTCGGCCTGGCTGAGTGGGAGGCCAGTTAACTGGGGCACGGGTTCACATAAATGTCTGGGAGACTTCATGCCACCAACAGTTTGATGCTGGAGAACAGGCAAGACGGGTTCCAGAGTCTGGAGCTCTAATAAGACATGGATATAGTTTGTGTATGAGAAGAGTGAGGTACATATGACCTCTCCAAACAGATGGAGTACTACCATACTGCACTGGCAGCAGAAATGACATTACTCTGTTGGCCATCAGACTCAAACCTACTGCATGATAAAGGCCTCAGCCCTTGGCTTCTGGTGAACAGCTGTGTTTGACAGAGAAGAGCAGAGAGATGGAGATTTCTCTTGCCAAAAAGGTTCTTATCTGTTCCTATCCATTCTGATTTTAGTAAACATCCTCTTCTTCCTAGTTACTAAAAGAACTCCTGCTTTTTAATAGTTATATGCCTTTGTAGAGTAAGAATCAACATTTCCTCCTTTTTGCTGGAATATTTTAGAGGACATTTAGAGAAAAGCTTAGGATTGCTAGAGTGTTACCAAAACCAGAATTGTGTTCTTGAAGTTAGAGAATTCATTCTCCCCAAGGAGTTTCATTCTAAATTGTAGCAGATCAGCCCACTTTCTGGGCAGCCTGACTAAAGGCCGATTTTCTTAATGGGAACAGCACAGTGCAGCTCATTCTGAAATGTTCTTCAACAGAGCTGTTAAAACTCAGAGAACTAATCATTCCTTACATGGCTTCACAGATGATAAAATCATGTAATAGCCAAGCAGTAAAAAAGGAATAACTTTCTCAAAACAGGATTTTTTTCCCTGCAGAACAGTCAGATCAATAATAAAAGAGAGAGGTGGTTTAACAATATAGCTCATTTCTGGTCCAGAATGTAACCAGCAAAAACGTCACCTTACTTACTCAGCAGTACTTGTCCCTAGTTGCATTCAGCATACTAGCTGCATACCAGTAATAAAGGAATCATTCCTACAGGGCATGCCTGTTATTTGGCAGAACTAACACTGAGCTAAGGGACCAGTGGATCTTATGCCTTTTTCTGCACCAGCAAAATTATTTGTTAAATTCTCATCTCTCCTATCACTACAAACCCACAGATGGCAAAGGGACAGCAACAGTGTTATTGAGGTTTTCAACTTAGAAGTATTGGCTGACACAGATGCACCAGACACCACATTTTGTCTCACAGAAGTCTTATTACTAGTAATAATGCAAGGTGGGGAGGGGGGAGAAGCCAGTAGGCATCTCCTACCCCAGCCTCAGTTTGCAATACTGACATATGCAGATAGACTAGGGGTAAAGATTTGTAATCATAAAGCTAGCATATGTGGTTTGAAGTAAATGAGTTGCACAGAGGAAACTTCAGTTCATTACTCCGCATTTAATTTAGGCTTGTGCTTTAAGAGGATGGAAAGCTCAGATCCTGCATAGGCTGGATCCTTTTTTAAGTCTCTTTCTCTGTAAATGGAAAATTCACAAGGACTTCCTATCACACAAGGTTTCACTATTTCTCCCAGTGCAAAAATAAGCAAAGTTGATGAATCTACTTTAGATCTCAAAGGGTTTGGTTCAGAAACTGCACCAATGGAAGGTTTTCTCCTTCAAGTGTAGGAGGAAGGAGTGGGAACATTTCTCATTTCATGTGAAATGCCTCATTTTTCTCTAATCTTCATGACATTAGAGAGTGTGCAGGGGGATAAAAGGTATGAGCATGAGGTAGAGGAACGTTTTATTTTCCTACTGGGCATTTCCAGGGCCCCAAGGTACCCCTCCAGCTCCTATCATTCATAACTCCATGCTGGAGTCATTTTCGCTGGATCACCAGAGCACATTTCCCAGTGACTGGGTTCTGGGGGAGCCGTCTGAGCATATCAAGGAATTAAAAAAAGTTACAGGATGGTTTTCAACCAAACTTTCACAATGCCACCCATGGGTCAGGATTCCTATTGTCATTTTAGGACAGCCATGCCTTGTACCTACCTAGAGATTCAAGGGTCTTCTCTTCACTGTTGCTGCCTGATCTTGGCCTTAAGAGAATTGAGGATAAAAGAATATATGAAGAGATAGAAAGAGAAAGGGGGGATAGCATTAAAGGAAGCAAACTTTCTTAGCATGATCGTTCCGATGAAGGAGCAAATGCAACCCATAAAACCAACAATATGCAAAGTTGATTAATTGCCATTAAACTTTCAGTTGCTGGAGTCACACAGAGCTCATCAAGCTCCAGCTGAAACACAGGAGTCATTCTTCAATTTGGGCCTTAAATATCCAATTTTGCTGTCTCTCCTTTTGGAGATAAGTGGCTCACTGTTACATACACCCTTTCTGAATCAGCAAGAGATGTTAAGCCAGTCATAAGTCTGTACTGTGAGCAGCTACCTTTATACTGCTGCAGAAGCCTGACTTTGCCTGGTCATGACTTCAACTGATGACAGGATCTTGGTTACACATGGTAATACCACTGCTATCTCCTGAGAATAATATTACACCTCCCTGCTCTTTCAAGAAGAAAAAGGTTTTTTCCAACTCACCTGGTAAGTAAGTATATTCAGATTGTGCTTTAAAAGCCATGCTGAAGCTTTTAAATTGGAACTATATTTCTATGACTCCTTATTTATTGTTATAACTAGGATAAGGTTGACAGCTAGATTTCCCCGTGCATATCCAAGCAAATATCTTTCCATCGGTTACAGCCCTGTAACTGTTCTCTAGCAGCTTGCCCCCTTTGATCTTAAAACCATATGTAAATATTAAACATCTATAGGATTATATACCCATAAACTGAGATTTATCTGGGCTCTCATTTCACAGTGAAGGCCCAGACACGACACAGAGAAGTTACGACTGACATTTACAGAAGCAGCATCTGAATTTGCAGACAACTATACAATAGCCAATATTTGCCCTAACATATTCTTGCAGGTACAGAAATTGGCAGTCAAAGATCACACACAAAACCAGATGCTGTATTCAGATCCATGGAATACAGTTCCCAAATGGCACCACAAAGATTACAGAATGAATCAGTATCAGAGTCCAGCAGAGGACCTGCTTTTAAGGTCCTCTTAAGTCCTGCTTCCTCCACACACCCCCCACCACTGCCCTTAGAGTGTATGATGTTGGTTTTGACATTGTGTGTATCTATCATCATAGATAAGAAAAATTGTGAATGCACAGAAGTTTGCATAAACATATTGGAAATCTGACTGTGAAAAACAACCTCAAGAGACAAGAAGTGTGAGGTGAATGGCATATTAGAAAGGCAGTCACCTTGGCTTACCTCATCTCCAGACCCTCTTGGAAAACCAGGTGCTGAGAGCTTGGGAGAGGCACTGCAGCGCTGCCAGGAGCCCCATCAGATGGTCTTGCTGATTTAGGGATAGGGGGAATCAAATCCACTCTCAGTGACTTCTTCCCATCTCCACCACTGCAAGGGAAGGGCAGTGGGGAAGCCTGGAAATAGTAGAACACAGTGCTCAGCTTGAGCATCCAGCCTTCCCCCTTTGATGTCACAAAAAGTTTAGCCATGCTCTTAGCTAGGACTTGGCAGGAGAAGAAAAGTAAAACTGATGGAGCAGCTTGGCCTAGGATGGGCAATGGGAAGAGAAGTGGTGAGGGAGAGACCATGTCCCACACTGTTGCCAGGTCTCTCCCTGCGCTCACCTCTCTGGCAGTGGCTGCATTCCCACCTGACATCTGTCTGCTTGGCATAAGGATGTTCTGGGGTGCCATTGCCTCTATTAGCCTTTCTGATGGTATGGGAATGGGTTTAGATCACTATCCTCTCGCTGTCCCTAAAGCACCTACCAGCCATTGCTGAACTCCAGCCAAGTCCCCACAAAGTCATTTTGCACACTGTCAAAACTTGCTTTTTTCAAGCCCGTAATTTTTTCTGCTCCTGCCCTTCCTACAGTCCCCAACCAGCCTTTTGGCCCAGATGCTAATGTGCTCTCAGGATGCTTGGTTCTCTCCAGCTCCCACACAATCCATCATCTCAAGCTCACTGTCGTTTATGAAGTTCAGCAGAGCTCCCTACCCTGCTGCTCTGTGTAGGGTCTCCCTACCTGCTGAAATTACTTCAGGCTCCCCATGCCATGCCTAGGAAGGGGGGTGCAGGGAGCAGGGGCAGACACATACCCTTCCTTAGTATCCCATCATTCTTGTTACAGCTAAAGAGCCAAATCAGGACCTGTTCAAACTCCAGTGAAACCAACAGAGTTAATGTGAGGGATACATTTGGCCCTGTATCTGCAGGGCTGAAATAAAGTACTCTAGCCTTTTATTAGGTATCCTGTTTACAAAAGCTGTTATTTATCTGCCTTCTCCTCCCTGCCATGGCAAAACCAAAACAACTGCAGCTTCTGTCCCTCCTGCAAAGGCAATTGAGTAGATGGGGTCTGGACTCCATTCCCCATGACTAGAATTGCCAGTTCCCATAACTTACCCCTGGGCAGACCCATGGGAGAGGATGAAGCTGCACCAAAGCCGCTTAACTCCAGAAATATTATTCAAGATAACTGTGCAGAAGGACATAGCTGTACAACTCAAAAGCTGAGGCAACCTAAACTTTAGTTTGGAGGACTGCCTGCTCCAGCAAACATCTTTTTCCATCTAAAACAGACAGAGCTGATATAAAAAGCCACCAAGACACTGGTGGGTCTGCAACAGTAACTGCAATGTACAGATGGTTCACAGATACATGTATTTCACTAACTGTAGAAGGATATGCTTGACCAGATTAGACACATTTAGTTGCTCCAACTGGTTGCTGGTGTTTTTTCAATCATAAAACACAGCAGGAGCCATTAGAGAGCACAGAAACTATTTAAAGACCTCTTCTCCTACTGACATATGTCGAGGACATGAAGTCTGCAGTACATGTGTTGCAAAGACAGCCTGAAGCACGATGTCCGGCTGAACTCTTCCTTGGCTCAGCTGCTTCCCTGGGATCACACCACAGGAGAAGAAGATCTCAGAGCTCTACCTACAGGAAATAAACTGAAGATCCACCACATGTGATATGGCTTGGTTTCCTTACTTTATATCCTTTTCCCTCTGACATCAGCTCCTTGTTATTCCCATCACTGTCATCACAGCCTGTGGCGTTTTCCCCATGCTCCTGCTCTCCATTGCTCATCCTGGTGGGCTCTGAGAAAGGAAGGCTGTTCTGGATAGGAGACATGGGCTTGGAGGTTACCAGGAGCCTCTGGGAAGGTGACCTAGAAACTACTGGCTTCTGGGTAACCCCCTTAGGGTCACTGCAGTCAGTCAGGCCTGCAAAGTGGAGACACATAGCATAATAGAAGCAGCACTACAAACCTAAAGCAGCTGAAGCTAGATATTTCATTGGACAGATTTCTTAGAAACTTCTAAATAACTGCACAGGGAAATATGCTCATGCTGGCAGCCACTTGAAGCAGGCCAGTGGACAATACTTTCCCACTTCCACAGAGCCATCAGAGGAACACCCTGGTCCTCCAGGCTCTTGTCAGGCAACAGGGAGCCCACGGACCTGTACTTACACAGAATACGTCTCCTGCACGTACACCCTTCTGCTCCTCTCCCTGCCCCACAGTTGTACACCCTTACAGCAACAGGAGGGCTACACAGGGGACCGAGAGCCGGGCAGGTTATCACAGGGGGGCACGTGCAGGGGAGAAATGTTCACTGGGAATGTGTGCTAGCTCTGTAGGCTGGCGAAAGACCCTTCTTCCCACAAGAGAACATACAGGCTCCCACCTTACCTCTCTGTGAGGCTAACAGGTCCTCAGACATCATCCTTGTCTTCAGCTTGTCCTTGATCTGAATGGTTTCCAGGGCAGCACTGCTCACATCCCTCTCTCTGGGGTCCTGGGTCATGGCTTCGTGAGAAAGGCGGGAGGGAGAACCTCCAGCCCCAGTGCTGAGGTCGTGCACACTACCTTTGCTGAACCAGCCAGGCACAGGAGAGATCGCCCTTGGGTGCACAAATTTCCTAACTCCACCCCCATCCCATGAACTAGGCTGCTTCTTCATCTGGGTTGTTAATATGGACTGAAAAGGAGCTGTAGATCAGGTAAAAGGGAACAAATTAGTTAGTTGACCTCACATATTTACAATCAACACATCTAATGAGTGAGGCATTCAACTTTTTTTTAATCATTCAGAAGATCAGTTTGGTTTTATTTTTCATAAAACTAGCATCAGTTTAATTCTTCTGAAGAGCATTGAGCTAGCAAGCCAGGAGAGAGAGATTGAAGGCCCCACCGGTAAGAGGGGAAAAAAAGATTCCCATTTCAGGACTTGGCTTCTGTAAAGGCTACCAATAGACCCACACGGTGCTACTGGTATTTCTGGAAAGCATAAAGACATCTCAGCAAGTAGGTAGACCTTGCCAGTGTTTCTGTAGCACCATCCCATCCTCAAGGTCTGATCTGATGGGCAAGCAGAGGAAGAAGTGGGAATTTACCTATTGCAAGACCACACATGGATAGCAATGATAGGAAAAGAATTCATATCTCATTCCCATGCCAAATTTATAGCCAGTTGGGCCACAGGCCCTGTCCTGGCTGGCAGTAGTAGTGATTTAGCTACTGTTGATAAAGGAGAAAGCATAATGAGCTAGTGACAGAGATGTGATGCCATGCACACCACTGGAGGAGAGCAGGATCTTCTGCAGCTCTCTGCCAGCCACCTACTCTGATACAGAGCCAGCACATGAGGACTGACCTCCAAGGACCATTTCTCCCTGAAATCAGGGGGGGGGGTGTCCATTTGGCTGAGACCACCATTGCATATTCAACCCATTTCCGTTCTCACCTTCTTCAGCAATCCAGCTGCTGCCACAAAACTGCAGGTTCGAATCAATGCTTCCACTTCGCAGAACTGTGCATCTGGGTTTGAACTTGGGAATGGTCCCATAGTAGAGAGAACCTGAGCCGTGGTACTTGGCCTTAAAATAAGGACAGTACAAATTACTCAGATTTGCAGCATTTGATATAGAGAGGTAAAAACAGACACCCTTTCTCCATAGAAAACTAACACACTGTGCTGGTTTTGGCTGTGATAGAGTTAATTTTCTTCATAGTAGCTAGTATGGGGCTATGTTTTGGATTTGTGCTGAAAACAACCTCAGTAATACAGGGATGTTTTCATTCCTGCTGAGCAGTGCTTACCCAGAGCCAAGGCCTTTTCTGCTTCTCACCTCACCCCACCAGTGAGCAGGCTGGGGGGGCACAAGAAGTTGGGAGGGGACACAGCCGGGACAGCTGACCCCAACTGACCTGAGGGATATCCCAGACCATACGATGTCATGCTCACCATATAAAGCTGGGGGATAAAGAAGGAAGGGGGGATGTTTGGAGTGATGGTATTTTGTCTTCCCAAGTAACCACTAGGTATGATGGAGCCCTGCTTTCCTGGAGATGGCTGAACACCTGCCTGCCCGTGGGAAGTGGTGAATTAATTCCTTATTTCACTTTGCTTGCGCATGCAGCTTTTGCTTTACCTATTGAACTATAGCTCAACCCATGAATTTTCTCACTTTTACCTTTCCAATTCCCTCCCTCATCCCACCAGGGGTGAGGAAGCAAGCGGCTGTGTGGTTCTTATTTGCCAGCTGGAGTCAAACCAGGGTACATACCAGTACTGACCAGCAGTCCTGACCGCTGCAACTGTCAGTTTGACTTTAGCCTAGTCTGCCTGGGGAGGAACCGGCATTCCAGCGCTATGACAACGGAACGTTCTACCAATTTGCATATGTTTCCGTTAGTGGCCCATCCAGGACTACAGGAGTTCTTTTCTTTCCTTTCCTTTCAAAGGGTAGGCAACCCACAACAGTCTTTAGGATTTGGCAATGTCTAGTAAGTAGAAGCTTTCCAAAACTAGTTTGAAAGTCCTTTGTTTCTGTAATTCCCAGTCAATTTTGGGTTGGGTTTTGTTGGGTTTTTTATTTCTCATCACAATAAAGAAAGTATGAAGACACAAACAATGAATCACCAGGTGTTATACTAAAAGAAGGTTTGCACTCTGCATTAGATGTCCCCAATATTCAGTGGGCTTATTTGATTACTGTATTTGTATGATGCAAATTGTCCATCCAAACATTCTCCTTTTTTCTGCTTCATTATTACACAGGTTTATTCCCTACTTTCTTTACTGCAGAGACACTCAAAACCAACATAAACATGGCCTGCCTCAAAAAATTTCTCATCTTGGCTGTTCCTGAAAATTCAAAATTATACACAGCATGTTTCCCTACCCCTTGTCCAGACCAATATCCTCCCCACTACGCAGCCTCTGAGGCTGGGCTCTCAGCATGAAGATACACTTGTACAGCATGAAGAATAGCTGCTGCACTTGCCAGCGTCTCCAGGGTCTCGTGATCAGCGCTTTGAATGCAGGTTTTGTACACGCTCTGCCTCCCTGAGCCGAGCAGCATTCCTGGGAACTGGCACGGCCGCTGTAGGCGAACATCTTCCAGGCAAAGGCTGCAGGAACGGGATTGCAACAAGCCCTGGATGAAGAAGTCTCCAGTCTGCTGCAGCCCTTCACCTGCTGCGAAATCATCTTGTGTTTCCATGGCAGGGGAGGCAGTGGGCTCTTTGCAGATAAGAGTCTACTCGATGTGCCGCTGGTCGCTGGGCCTGATACAACTGCTGGTGGGTTTCCCAGCAGCATCAGGAGCCTATATGGAAAAATAACACTGCTAGTGCAAGTGACAGCCACCGATCCCTGGCATTGCCCCGCATACAAGGGTTCCTGCATATGAAACTGCTCAAGTCAGGTGGTGTTAAAACAGCATAAAAATACATTCAAGCTACGCATTTTCCAAATCCTGTCAAAATCATGGCCATAAAGTCCCAATGCTGGAGGAAGACTGCTGTTGGCATAACGGGGGAGACATAACTCCGCCCCAGCAGCTGTTCTCCCCATGGCTGTATGAGCATGGCAGCAGAGGCAAGTGTCTCACCGCACCCACTGCTGCTGGACCCAGTGCAACATGCTGGAGTTGTTCCCACTGAGCTCGGCACTGCCGCTGCAGCAGGAGCATCATTCCACACATTTGATAACGAAGAGTTTTAAGGCCACATTGGACTTGCCCCAAGAGCAACCAAAAAAAAAAAAAAAGGGGGTTAGAATAATTTGCTCCTTTTTAATACAAATGTACCTGGATTTTAGGGGGGGGGGGGCACCGGGCTAACAATACTGGAGACTGGTGTGTAACCCCTATTCTCTAGCACTTTCCACCCATCTGCAAGATTTTTTTCCATAGAAAGGGATCGGTAAGATTTTATCACACATCCATTAGTAATTCTGAGCCACAATTTAAAACACAAGCCAAATACTGCCAGATCTGCCACCAAGTGGGAAAGGAAGGAGAAAAGCAGTTGAAACAACTGCCCTTGTAGCTAAATTGCCTGCATTTATAGTGTTGCTGAGTTACCTATAGCACTTGCAGCACCTCAGAAAGCCTGAGGCTATGGCATAACGCATATTTAGAGATGCCAGCTATCCAGAAACTATATGCCACACTCACATCAACAAATGCACATCCCACAGGACCAGTGGAGTTGTAGACGGTGTTATAGTGCACAGGTATATGAAAGTAAAGGAAGTTTAGGCTTAGCCCTTCAGGTTAGTGCTATAGCAAAACGTGACACTCATCAGCTTCAGTCCCTGCAGTCTGTTTCCTTACCAGTTTGGTTTCTTTCACCTCAAAACTCTCTATAGAGATTTCTTTTCACCTTCTGACAGACTTTAGTCACTATACAGGGCTTGGGCTTCCTTAAACATATCAGCCCATTTCTTATGGCCTAAGTGAGAGGTAAGAGGGGATTTTGCAGAGCGTGCCTTAGGATCAGAGGTCAGAATGGTAAGCCAGCAGTAAAATTCCTATAAACGTCAGTAAGTACAGAAGGATGCCAGTGTGAACTGCTTTTGAAAATCCACTCATAGGTGCCTCCAAAGCTCTGCAAACAGAGCGACTATCACATGGTTGCTCAGTGCAGCCAGAAGGATGAATCACAGACACAGTTCAGTTAAAGTATTACAGAAGGAAAAATGCCTCTGCACTCAGTGGAAGCAAAGGCAGGTCCCTATTAATTTGTTCTGTAAGCTTAAAACAAATAACAAGGAATGCTGTACAAGGACTTGAGGTACCCTGCTATCAATCAAACTTACAATCAGATAAAATGGCATCCTCAAGCAAATTTTAATAGAAATTGTTCGTATTGCAGCAAAGCCCTGTGCTGCTCCACCCCCTGCCCAAGAGATTTAACTCTGCTCAAAAGCTATCAAAGCATTCATCTGGAGTAAAACAAGTGATTTTAGAAAGGCTGGAGTTAGCAGAGACAGTTAACCCACTTCTGGCTTTCACTCTTTTTGTTAGTCTAGATAAATTCACAGAGACAGCTTCAGGTCAATGAATGAAGGTGCTTGGAGAGCTTTTAGAGCCTAATTCCCATTACTTTCAACAAAAGGCAGGCACTAAATACCCTTAAAAATACAAATATAGGTCTGTTTGGACTGTACTTTAAAACAAGGGGTAGAGGTATCATTGCAAGTGGGACTAGGACATAAAGCAGGGATTAAGGTATATTTTCTTTGGTCTCATTGCATAGGATGAATATCTAAGAAATATGCCAGCAGCAATTTTGCCTGGTTAAGATCACCTCCTAAATGAAGCTGAGCATGTCCCATTGCTTAAGGTATTAAAAATGCCCAAAAGAAAGCAGTAAGTACCAGAAATTAATGTATCCTGTAGCTAAAACAGAGGCTGCCTCTACCACTGACTTAACCCTGTTACACAAAGTCAGGCTCTCCATGCCTCAGTTTTGTTCCTCTGCCAGTCTGTCCTACCTAAACGCTAGCATGCTATAAAGCATAATTAGGAAGGGCATTACTTATGGCACCTCCATGGCCACCAAAGACTTGATTACCTAAATTCAGGGCATAGTACCTAATTCAGGCCAGCTACATGATATGGAAAGCCCCAAATGTACAGCTATATAGGGCCACCCCTTTCTCCCTTGCACTGAAACCACTGTAACCCAAATGATAATAGCAGAGCAATTTGCCTGCAGCCTGGGGGAAGCACTGGGTGTGCAGGATTCATCTTTTGCCACTGTTGATAAGAGCATGGAAAACAAGCTGGTGCCATTCTCTGTACAGAGGAGAACAGTAGCAGTGGTTTGCTGCTGAGTGAAAAAAAGTGTTAGAAAATGGCTTTCTGAAGAAGAAAAAATGGAACGCAGATGCATTTGAACAGCTCCAGGCCCTGGTGATGTTTCAATAGACAGTAACTGTACTCCTTGTCATCCTTCTGCTGGGTTAATCAAAAGGAAATGCATTCTTTGGGATTTTCAGCTTCTTTGGATCATTAGCACCCAGTAAATGAAAACAGAGATTATTTAATGCTATCATTACTTTCGTTCCCAACTAACAAGCTGTTTCTCTGGTGGCTTCCCAACACAGCAAACATACAGTATTGTTATGTGAAACACGCTGATTCCAACAACCCTACAGAGCCCGTCAGGATTGGAGCCACTGTGGAGGTTGAACCCAGTATCTCACCAGCCAGAGGCTAGTTGTGAGGATAAAATGGAATTGGAGTGATGACAGTTGTTTGGGTTTTTTTTTGGCCAGAGGATTTCAGCTTGCAGGGCCATAACGCATCTGTAGTATGAAGTTTTTATGTAGAGTAAAAAGCCATCGCCCAGTGGACCTGGGCAGTTTCCCCAGGCCTGCAGGAGAATCACGAGGCAGGTCCCTGTGCTACTAATTGCATCTCTCCCCACTTTTCTAAGTTCTTGGTGTCAAAGCCACTTAGGTTAGACACACAGGTCACAAGAAGTGCTCCTGTATCTTTCTGCGCAATGATCCAAGCAAGATAACACAGCCAAAATCTGTTTTCTCTTACCATTTTGAGGAATTTCTGAACCAGCAAACTTGCTTCCTCATATATTTACTGTGCATGGCAAGAAGCACAGACAAAAGATGTAACGTGAAAAGCATCACCCACGTGATGCTCTTTTTACAAGTTGTGCCCTCAGCATTCATTTGGAAGATCTTAAAAGTTCAATGTCCCTATCAAAAGCTCCTACAATGGCTGCTTCTCAGCAGAGCCAGGCTGCTCAACCATGAAACAAGAGTTACCACAAGCAGCAGCTTACCCAGGGCAGCAAATCAAGAGTTGAGAATAAGCTGATCTGAATGCCAAACCTCATTAGCTCCTTCAAAAAGCACTTGAACAAGCCCTCATTCCAGCTCTAATGAGGTGTTGTGCTGGACACCACGGTTATTTGAGTACTGTACACAAGTTTGCTCCCACTGAGGTCTCTGTTAGAGCTGTGGCCCAGAGCGGTTGTTCCCCAAAGGTGGGTGATTGATTGCTCTGTGGGCTCCTGTGACTGCCAGACACAATGAGATGAGAAGAAGCCAAGTACACTGACACACCTTTGCCTTGAGCATAACCCAGCCTGGGCCAAAAGCACTGAAAGATTTCCCCTCCTTATCGAGGCACTTTGAAGACGACCCTGAAACTGCGAGATGCTGAGGCCATGCAGGAGTTTGCAGAGCACCTCATGCAGAGAGGTCCTCACCCTGAGGGGCCTCCATCTGCTAATGCTGTATGAACATAAATTAGCTGGCAGCAGTAAAGCTGCAGGGCCTAGCACTAGAAAAAGCAGGCAACGATCAGCTGCTGCCATCTCTTCTGAGAGCAGGTCTTCACAGCACGTGGGATTTCTGCCATGAAGGACTCTTGGAAAGGCTCTAAATGCCCAACACTCAAGGCTTGGCTACAGAAGCAGTCACAATCAGCACCTTGAACTAATATATCCTCAAATTAAGTCCAACCAGTGGCCCATGTCTTGAAATGTTAGACCAGCTGTTTGTTGGTTCACACCGGTTTCTTGTAAAGCATTTTCCTTAGAAATACCAGGCTTGTCTGCCTCAGTGCCTTCCTCTCAGCTGCCTCAGGGAGAGTGGTCTCCCACCCCATACTCCTGTGTGAAGCCATCCCAGAGGGCTACTAAAATATGTTCCCTGGCCAGTGGTTTTCTCCTGATAGGGCCCTGCATACTGTTCCACACATCTTTTGCAAAGGCACAAACCAACTCCAAGCAGTCTGACTAGAGCAGGTTTCCACAAACAGCTGCATAAATCCAAGATAACTCCAAGTGAGCATCCTAAGGGCTCTGTCCTGTTCCTGTGTAATCACCAGGCAGGGAAATTGTCAATGATATGAAGCAATTTCATTCAGTTGCAACATGGGATCCGAGTTCTGTATTGAAATTTTTCATTATGAGTAACAAGCATTGGGAGCATGAGGTGCAGGGCTGACATGCAAAAACAGGAGCATATCCTTTAACGAGACCAGTTTAATTGTCCATTTTACTACTCTTATATCTATTCCACTAAAGTCCCAGTACTGTTGTTAGTGCTGTATGAACCTTGAAATACAACAGTTCCCACTGCTTAGAATTTATTCCCTGGTCTTTACAATATCTAAGCACCTCTGTTTTGTTCAGGGCCTAAGTCTGCTATTCAAGCATCACTGAAATATTTAAAGCTTCCTGT